ATATATAGGAATTTTCTATTGTTGCCACGTTGGTTTTATCCTTTGCTAACCGTAAACAACAGCAATATTTAATCACAGTTTTTTTTGTTACTTCGAATCGATTTTTCAAGGCATCATTATTTAATTTAGCCTTAATAAAAAAATGTTTAATGTTTTATCTATTATAATTTAAGGTACTATCGTTATATTTTTTAATTTTTTAATGTTTTTAATAATAAAAATATTTTATTTAAAAAAACCTCCCCTCTCTCTTTTCTCCCGTGTTCTCCTTCCCTGCAAACGATCAATGGTCGACTGCCACTGCCACTACCATGACCGATCAACTGACAAACGGTTAACTGCCACATCCGATCAAACGGTCGATTACCACGATCGATTTAAGGGATTTTTAGGGATTTGAAACTTTAAAACGAAATCTTTCATTTATAACGTTTTTTGGGTGTTCGATCGATTGGAAAAGTATGGGGGATTTGGTCATGGATTGTTGGTCGTTCACACTTCGTTGGGTGTTCGGTTGATTGACGGTGTTGGTGCCGGTGGACAGTAGCAAATGGATTAAAATTAAGGTTTTAAAGTTTTGGGTTTTTTTTCTTAAAAAATTATATTTTTATTTTTAATACAAATTCTCAAAATTACTAGAACGTGACATGTGCTACTTAACGGATATTTTTAACGGCGGTTAATGTCCAGACACCTAAAAGTGTAACGTTAGAAACATTAAACACTTATTTTTAACAAATAATTATTTAATCACCAAATTATATTTCGGGATATAATTTAAATACTTATTTTTATATTAAACTTAAATTAAATAATGACGACCTGAAACTGAACTCGAATTTTAGTTTCGGGTGTTAAAGGCGGAGCCCATGATGAAATTTAAGCTCTAACGGCCATTAGAATACGATAGTGGGCTAGGTCCAACCCGAAATTCGATATGCACGTTTTTTAACTTTCAGGGTAAATTATCTCTGCGGTCTTCTTAAGTTTTGTTAAGAATCCATTTTTGGTCCCCTATTACATGTATTTACCTTTTAATCCTTGTAATTTTCCTTTAAATTTATTTTAATTCCCTTTAATCCATATCTTGTGTATTAAATTTAATTTAGTTCTTCCTAATTATGCCATTAATTTTCATATTATTTTCATTTTGATCCTTATTGTTTACTACTGTTACTTTTAGTAATTTGCAGTTTGAGAGATTATTTATCTTAATCCCTATATTTTTTGTACTCTATTATTTTATTATTCATAAAATATTTTGTTGATTTTTCTCATTTTCTTAAAACAAATTATCTATATTTAAGGATGCCTCATTGAAGTGTAATTTTATAGATCACTCAAATGAATTGGCATTTAACTTTTTAAAACAAGTCAAAAGATGAGTAAAAGTATCATATTTTAAATTTTAGCTTAAACTTGAAAATTTCACTATTAAGACAACTTATAACCGATTTCGGACATTATCTCTCTTGATACGTTATCAATTTCCGAATCATTCTAAATGAATTGTTGATAAAACATAAACTCGCTTTGTCTTTCTTTAAGAAAAAAAAAAGACAGTTTTTTAGTATTCAACTGTTCAACTCAAAAGACTGATGAAAACCCTAAACTATAATTTTTACGAGGTCGAGATTCGTTTCGAGCTTAGAGATCGTTCCGACTTAAGGTAAATTCTAAAACTTGGTGATCCAGGACAAAGGAGACTAGCAGAGTGTTCTTTCTTTAACCTTTCAGTTTCTTCAACTGTCTTGTGATCTTTTTCTTCCAATGTTATCTTTTCCTTGGCCGAGGCCTCTTTATCTATCGGCTTGCGAGCTTCAACATCGTTCCCGTTTCCCTTACTATCATGTTCTCTAACATCGTTATCAGAACCCGTGGGTGCTATTTTCGCAGACCGGACGCTGCCATCATCAGGTACTCGAGACAATACGGCAGTGCTTTTGCGGTCATTGATGGAGCCATCCTCCGAGCCAGGATTGGGCAGCATTTGTTTAGAAATACTAGAGTGGCTCCTTCGTCTCTTAAGCACATCCAGTTTCCGGCCGAGAAGAGACATTACTTTAGCTTGCACCCTATCTTTTTTAAGGTATAGCTTTGATGCTTCACACCCCATTGATGGGAAAAAAGCAGCTGAAGAGAAATGAAGGGAGAGTAAGCCAAATGGATGATGATAATGGTGGCCAAAGGGGTGCTTTCAAAGCTTATATATATGTGTGTGCAGTTGTTTATAAAACAATATATACCTTTTAATCTTTTGTTTGGTTGGATTTTTCTGTTGTTACCATGCTGGTTGCTCATTTGCTAAACGTAAACAACAACATTTGGTCACGTGTGCTTTCAGTTTTTATTTTTCGTTATATAGAATTGATTTTATATAAAATACATGAAAGTAGTAGCAGATTTATAAATTAAAAAAATGTGGTCTAAAATTTTAATATTCTATTTGTAAAACATTTTGATAATGACGGATACATAAATTTAAAAATGAGATTTAAAATTTTAATTTTCTTTTTTTTTAAATAATGGGTATGCAAAAGTTTTAATTTTTTTCCTTTAATACATTAAGTTAAATTTAACCATTTTTTTCAAAAATAATAGTGATGCACTTGACTCATACGAGGACTTAGTGCATCCGCCACTACATTTTGGGTATGCACATTTTTTTTTATTTCTATTAATAAATTAAACTAAATTTAATGTTTTTTCTCGAAATAATTGGTGTACAACGAATTCGAACCATGTACATCCGCTCGGCATGTAAGGGTGTTCATTTTTCGGCTTTAACCGAATTAAACGATCGAACTGAATTAGTTCGGTTAATTCGGTCGGCAATCGAATTAATTTGGTCGGATAACGGTTAATATTTTTTTAGATTTCAGTTAACAGTTAATTCGGTTCGAAATCGGTTAATTAATCGAATTAACTGAATTAATAGAAATTAAATTTTAAATATGAAATATATTATATATAACATATGGGCTCAACCCAAACTATTTAAAACTCAATTAATAATTTATGATCCAATAACTTTTAAACCTAAATCAATATTAATTAATTAAAAAAGCATATAAATTTTTTATTTTATAATTATATATTATTTAAATTAATTGTAATTTTTTTAATTAAAAATTATTCAATTTTTATATAATTTAGAAATTTTTATAAAAAAATCGGTTAATTCAAAAATTAACCGAATTAATCGAAATTTATTCGGTTCGATTAACGGTTAAAGAAAAAAATTAGGTTAATGATAATTCGATTCGACCAGCCATCGTTTTAACCGAATGAACACCCCTAGCAGCATGAAAGCTTATAAAAATTTGTTTTCAAGTAAATATAGGAAAGGTTGTTGATATGACTTAAGATTTTTTATTTCTAAGATTGAATTAATTTTTATTTTTTAATTTTTTCCCTTTATTTTTTTTAAAATTTTTTCTCTTTGTTTTTATGATGAAGACTAAGTAATATATTTATTTTTAACATTTTATAAAAAATTTAATTAAAATTTGAAATTCTTTTATTTTTGTAATATAAAACAATTTATATCTTTAAATTATTTAAATAATAGGGTAAATATATAATGGTCCCTCAACTATGGGTACTATTTTACTTAGTCTCTCGATTATTAAAAGTTACAAAATAATCACCTGACTTTTTATTACATTTCAAACTCGTCCTTTTCCTTTAAAAAATGGATGGTATTCTAAGTTGAATATTAATTTGTTGATTGTGATATGATAGAACTTGATCCGGAATCTCGAACAACTGTAATTTCCTAGTCATCATGTTAACATCTAACTTAACCAACATTCATTTTTTAACGAAAAAATGACGAATTTGGAACATAATGAATAGTCAAGTGACCATTTTGTAACTTTAATAGTCGGGAGTTGTCAAAGCAACATTCTATAGTCGAATAACCATTTTATAACTTTTAATAGTTGAGGGACTTAATAAAATAATATTATATAGTCGAGGGTTCATTTGTATACTTTACCCTAAATAATATTATTTTAAATAATTGAAATATTTGATAATTTAAGATTAATTTAAAATTTTATTTAGGAAAAAAGTCATCAGATGTCCTTGTACTTTTGAGAGGAAAAAAAAGCAAATTAGCCCTCTATTATTTTTTCTCTCGATATGACCCTCTGACTTAGAAAATAAACCCAATGTGGCCCTTTGGCCAACATGTTTCGTCGTTGACCGTTACGATGTTAATGTAACAATTCACAATGCTGACATGACAGTCCATGGTGGTTGATAACATGACAGATGGACTAAATTGCTAACTCAAACTTGATAGATGGACTACCATGTCAGAACTGTGAATTCCCACGTCAGCACTGTAACGATCAACGATGGAAAATGTTGATCAAAGGGCCACATTGAGTTTGTTTTCTGAGTTGGAGAGTGTCACTGAGAGAAAAATAATGCAAGGGTTACATTGGTTGTTTTTCAAAAGTACAATGACCTCTTATGCATTTTTACCTTTAATTTAGGAACATTAAAAATAAACAAGGGTAAATTATGCATTTCATACTTAAACTATCATTTTTGATCCATTTTAGTACCTAAAATTTTATTTTTTTCAAAATCATACATAACGTTTAGTTTTCATTTCATTTGAGTACCCCGTCGTTAAAAACTTGACACGTCAAGTACCTAAACAATCAGTTTTGGCCTGTTTTAGTACCTAAACATGCAACTTTTTCAAAACTTAACATTAAATTTTGAACGGTATAATTAAATGAAACAAAAACTAAAGTTTTTTAACGGCGGAATACTAAAATGAAACAATAACTAAACTTTATGTATGCTTTTATAAAAAGTGAAAGTTAGGTATCAAAACGGACTAAAACTAGTAGTTTAGGTACTAAATACATAGTTTACCCAATAAACAATTGAAGGACAGCGTTGAGATTTCGCATGGTCAAGGAAAATAGAAAGGTGAAATTGACTTAAGTACGGCGACTCACAGAATAACTCAATGAACCTTTCCCCGTCTTCCATTTCACCCCAAAATACAATTAACAAACCCTAAAATCAAACACCTGATCTTGATTTATCTGGATAAAGAACAAAGGAAAGATACGCGGGCAAATTATACCTCTAGTCTCCCAATCGTGCCCTAATTCAATTTCAAGCTCATAGCTTCCAAATTTTCGTTTCCATTCACTGGATTAGGCTTGGGTTTCATTGCAATTTGGTTTGTTCTTTCAGTGGTAATTCGAATTTCAAATTTATTAGCTTTTTTTTGTTTGTTAATAGATTTTGCAAATTAGTCAACACCATTAGTTGCTTCCCGTCGGATTTATCAGCTGTTTTTTAAGCTATTTGCTTCTGTTCATCCTACTGGATACTTATTACTCTTTCTCTTTAATGTTATGTGCCTGTTTACTAAGAAAAAAGCAAAAAAAAAAAAAGATAGAGATATGATATTTGGACATTTATCTTTTTAGTTGTTTTTAACCTTTTAATTGTTTGTAATGCGAATGGGGGAATTTGTGATAGGGGCTAAAGCAACTCAGTATATATATCCTAAGGGGTTTTTTTTTCAATGAGAAGCTACACTTTATTTCGTGTTAATTTCCCTTCTAATCTTTTGGTGAAAATTGTATAGGGTTAGATAAATTGCATTCTTTTAGATGAATATACAATATAGTGAGGGAAAGGTGCATAGTGTCATATTGCGACTGAATTATGCATTCTATTTGTAGAATTTTTTTAGGGGCTTTCAGAAGCTTGTTGGTGGAAATAGAGTAATGGAAAGCAGTGAGATGGATAAAGCTGCAAAAGAAAAGGAGCCAAAGACACCGCCTGCTACACAGGTATTGTTTTATTGTTCTTTGAAAATTTTGGTTTATGATGTTCTGATTGTTCTTTTTCACAAGTATGTTTGTTTGTTTCAATGATTTTCTTGTATCTCAGGAGGCGTCTTCAACCATTAACTCGGGTATGGTAAATGCAGACTGGTCTGGGTTTCAGGTTTGTTATAAATCTGTAGCTTCAATATGTTATATTCAAGTTTCATATGTTATTCTAATCATTACATGTGGTATTTGTTGCTAACAGGCATATTCTCCCATTCCTCCACATGGTTTCTTGACTTCAAGTCCCCAAGCTCCCCCATATATGTGGGGTGTTCAGGTATTTATGGTTTTGCATTGGTATCTTAGGATGGTGCATTGTTAGGATTGTTAAACTTTTCTCTTTTAATTGTTAGAGCTTTAAGATTTGGTGGCATGATTAACTATCAAGATTTAATGATTTCTTTTGCTGATTAATAAAGCTTTCATGTAATTCTTTCTTTGTTGCAGCATATTATGCCTCCCTATGGTACCCCACCGCATCCTTATGTTGCAATGTATCCTCATCATGGAATATATGCACATCCATCCCTTCCTCCAGTATGTTCTTTTGAACCATTATTAGGTTTTATTTCCTATGTCACACTATCTCAAGACTTGGAGCCATTGTTTTGACATGATCTAATCTGCGACAGGGATCTTATCCTTTTAGTCCTTTTGCTATGCCTTCTCCAAATGGTATTGCAGAGGCTTCTGTAAGCAGCAGTTTATCATAATTTGTCTTATGATATGTTTTTTTTTTGTTGAAGAAATGTCTTTATGTTCAGCTTCCAAATGATTGACTCTAGATATTTTTAGGGAAATACTCCTGCAAGCACAGAGATTGATGGCAAGCCTCCTGAAGTGAAGGAAAAGTTACCTGTAAAAAGATCAAAAGGGAGTTTAGGCAGTTTGAACATGATTACCGGAAAGAACAGTAATCTTGGTAAAACATCAGGAGCTTCTGCTAACGGAGTTTCTAAAAGGTATGGCAGAAAAGAAATGATCTTGCAGTTATTGCATAGATTTTGGTTGTTAGTTTGTGTTCTTGTTAGTTACAAGGACTAGATCCCATGTCAATTACTGGGGGAGGGGGGTATTCTTGACCTTCATATGTAGTCTCATGGAGAAATTTTTATACGATTGAGTAATACAGAAAAAAGCACAGCAGTTGCAATTGGGTTTCATTGAGAAATCAATGAAGTCCTTTATTGAAGAAGCTTGGTGAGTAGATCTCCTATGTTACTCTCTTTATTTCTTGTATGCTAAGCGTTAAGAAACTTTGAGAAGTGCTTTGTCATAGTCCTTGTTATCATACAAGGCTAAAATCAACTATTCAATATCTGGTTTCTTTAATGCATTAATTCATCTGAGCATGCATTATTTTCTTGTACCTGCTACCATAATTATTGCCCTAGGTAATTTGGCTGACCGTTGAATATTTACCATGCATGTGTAGTGCTGGCGGTGGAAGTGAAGGTTCAAGCGAAGGCGGTGATGCAAACTCTCAGAATGTGAGTGCAAGGCCTCTTGCCACTTATATTTGTTTATTATTTTTAATTGTCCATCTTCATTTATTAGTTTATCATTTTAACCATGCTTTGCTTATGTATTTTTTCTGTCTTGGAGAGATTGAGAACCACCTGCCAGAATGATATGATCCCAGGGCAGTACTTTGCAATTTCATGTATTTTTGCCCCATCTCAACTAATATTTCAGTTTGGATATGAATACTTAGGTTTTGAAGTGACTGCATACACTGATGTTTCAGTTTATTTGCCTTTGTTCTATTAAATAGCAAATAGTTAACAGTGTTGATTGCCTGAGAATGGGACTAATCTCAAAATAAGTTGTCTTGGATGGAACTGCCTCCAGGGTCTTTTCTTTCTCTCTGGAAGCTGTAATACTCTTGTAGCTCCTCAATTGTGTTGTTTATAGCTACTAGGAGTTAGCCTGTCAACTGTTTGGATACATTTTCTTTTATCTAATACTTGGGAACAAAGTTTAATGGGCCTTCTGTATGTCCTGGAAAAACATTGTGGAGTGGGGTTATTGAAGAAAGGCAAAGCTGTCTCCAATAATCATCTCTATTACAACTCCCCATGTGTTGCAGCTTCTCTTGGAACTCTTCCAATGATGAGAAAACTTTAAATATTTCATTTTTATTCAAATTCAGGCATTCACCTATATCGTCTTGTTATCTTTTTTTCCAGGTCAATTTTATGCAATAAAATGTTTTCTTCTTTTTTAGGAATCGCAATTGAAGTCTGGAGGTGGAAAAGATTCTGGAGAAGGTTAGATGGTGATAATGTCATGATATTTTTGCATTGTTTTATTGCCATTTGTGTATGTGTTCTGAGAATGTCTTCAATGGTTCTTATGTAGGTGAAGCATCTCAGAATGGAGGTTCTAATTCAGCCCATTCAATAGCGAATACAGCAACGGCCATTGTACCTATACCAACTACTGGGGCAGCCACAGCTGTTCCTGGTCCAACAACTAATTTACATATTGGGATGGACTACTGGGGGACGCCAGCTTCATCTGATGTTCCTGCAATGCACGCGAAGGTTTCTTCGACCCCAGTTGCCGGAGGAATCGTAACCCCTGCATCTCGGGACGGTGTTCAGCCCCAGCTTTGGTTACCGGTTCTCTCCCTGAACATACTCACATAGTGAAATTCAATATCTCCTTTGTGTTGATATATTTTCTTTTGGCTGCAGTGCTATGCTTTTGTCCATGAAATGTGAAATTTACACTAAATTTGCAGGATTTCACATCAAGTTTTTTCTCCTCCAATGAACTGCTGCATTATTCCCTTGCTTATGTGCTTCTAAGAATGTGTTTTTCCATTGCCTTCCCTTTTGGTGTTGTATGTAATTGTCACTGACTGATTTATGGATATAGGATGAAAGGGAGCTTAAAAGACAGAGAAGGAAGCAATCAAACAGAGAGTCTGCTCGGCGGTCAAGGTTGCGTAAGCAGGTACTGAAGTATCCTTTAGAAATTGTATATCCTATTATCTGCCATAAGGCCCAGATATGAGTTATATATCTAAATGCTTACTATTGAATCAGGCGGAATGCGACGAGCTGGCTCAACGTGCTGAAGCCCTAAAGGAAGAGAATGCCAACCTTAGATCAGAAGTTAATCGGCTCAAGAGCGAGTATGAGCAGCTTCATGCAGAGAATACCTCTCTCAAGGTCATATTTTCTTGCTTCGTTTTACAAAATATTATAACTTGTTAGTATGTTTCTACTCTCCAAACCTATTTGCATAATTTCGCTTCCTAATATCAGTTGCATAATGGCAGGAGAGGCTAGGGGAAGTTCCGGGGCATGACGATCTGAAGTCTAGTAGGAATGACCAACATAGAAATAATGATGATCAAACAGAGACTGTGCAGGGTAGTCACTAGGTTTCATACACCCTTTTTTTCAGTCTCCTGGAGCACAACCTAACAAAATTAGCTAGGGAAAGTTTTTATTCTGCATGGCATGTTTAAATTTTATCAAAGTTGACCTTGGTAGCTCTTAGGATCCCTTTATCTCCCTAGAATCCTTCACCAGTGATTTGGCTTGGCTTTGCAATCAAAGCCATAGGATGCTATATAGATTGATATCATGTGATACCTTTCTCTATTGAAAGAAGGGTACAGTTGAACTTTTCGAGCTTGTTTATGTTGAAATATGATTGTTGAATGTGTAACCCTGGGAAGTCATGAACTCTGATTCATTAATTCTGTGGTGGTGCCAGTTCATCGATTTTTTCAACATTTATTCCCCTTAGTTTCCTTGCTTTTATCGTTTGAAAATTGGTTTTAGAGTGAAATAACTCTAAATAAGGGTAATATTTTAGGTTGGAATTGTCTTTTCTTACCGATTGCGTAACATTTTAAAGTTTAAAGTTAAAACTGAAAACCCGTACCAATCACGTCCTATATTAGCCACGTGTTTCGTTGCACAACAGAATCACCATACTTTAGCGTTATTAATTTGTCTACAAACAATGAAAAACCATGAACTTTGAAACTGAATCCGAAAGTGTCCAAAATACAACTCGTTAATATAAAATAAAAAAACAGAAATCGGTTGCAATCAAAAAATTTATAGAAAAATATAACCTTTTAAAATGGATATGATAACATTTTAAGTTAAAATTAAAAATATTATATTTTTTATAATATTTTTTATTGTAATTAAAATTATTACAAATTGTTTCGGTCGTACACTTTAAACCCAATGACAGAGCTATATTAAGGCTAGGAAGGGCTACAGCCCCTCATTCCCGCAAAGAAAAAAAAATCATATTTAATATATATAATTTAAAATTTTATAGGATAATTATAAATTACACATTCACTCTCAAAAAAAGTATTTTACTCCTCTTGACCTTAAAAAGATGATGTGATACGTTAGTTTAATGAATGGACTCATTGCATGAAATTTAAATTTAAACTAACGTGTCACATCAACGTTTTTTAAAAAGCAATTGACAATATATAATAAAAGTGAGTTAAAAGTTTGGTAATTATATTATAAGTATGAAAAGTTTGATGATCAAAATGTAAAACATCCTAAAAGTTCAAAGGACTGTTTATAGAGTTTACCCATTTAGTTATTTCAAGTATCATAGTTTTAATTTCAAAGAAATGACCATCCAGTTTAGTTGGTAGAGCACAAGGTTCTTAACTTTGAGGTCGTGGGATCAAGTCACATTGAGGGCATTTCATAATTTGGAGGTCTCCTACGGAAGTTGTTCTCAACCTAGTGTTGGAGGCAACCTACTATCTTACCTCCCATTACCCATTACATATGGGAACAAAGGACAACCATATAGTTTTAATTTCAAGATCAAGAGAAGATGTTTACTTGCTCCATAATATTTATAGATAGTGACATACATAATTTGCATGATCTTAAAGATAATGAAAACATTTCATTTATATTGAGTGAATGAGAAGGAAAACACATTGGATGGATTGTTTTATATATTGAATATTAATCTAGAAGCGAAAGTGACACTAAGCTTATCTTATACATGCAATAATTAAGAATTTGACTTAGAAATCACTTATTATTATTATTATTATTTAAAAATGATAATCAATTATTATGATGAAAATACTTTCAGTATCGTTACATCAATATTAATGTCCTACCTAACATAAACAAAACATCATTTTTTTTTGTATAAACATGTTTCGGATTTCAACAGCTTCAGTCTCATTTGAGAACATGAATTCACATCAACTGCTATTAAACCGTAAAAGTAAATCGTTAAATCAAGATAATTATCAAAGAGTTGGTTCAAGTACTATGTAGTTTGATATCGTTTAAGTAAGTCTCGAGTTAGAGTTATTGTGTACGCAAAAAAACTCTATTGGAAAATTCATCCACCGAAATCATATGTACGATCCAAGTCGGTCCGAATTAACAAAAAAATCAAGATAATTGAACTTTAAAATTAGTTTTGTAGTGATCGTTGAACGTTTGCCTGCTTTTTTGTCTGTTAAAACAGACATTAACTTCAATATCCAGAAATCTTAATATATATATAATCCTTATTGAAGAGATTTGAGTTACAATTACAAAAGACCCTGTAAGCAACTAAATAAGCTTGCAATGTACTACACAGCAGAACCGATTTGATTTACAGGTTTATATTTTTACTATGAATAAATGTGTCTGAATTTGGAAAAAGAGAATTACTGGTTAGTACTACACAACAGAACCGATTCGATTTACAGGTTTATATTTTTACTATGAAATAAATGTGTCCGAATTTGGAAAAAGAGAATTACTGGTTACGGGGATAGATGCAACACTTTATGATAGGAGATCAACTTGAACTTAGGAGAAGGCGAATTTGAATTTATAAAATTTCAAGAGGGCGAAAACATATTTTTAATAGAAAAAATCTAAAATTTATGGTAATTTAAAATTTTTGAGGTGCCCCTCGGTCCATCCCTGACTGATCCTACGGGGAGTAAAACTAGAGATGGCAATTTAATCTGAATCCGACGGGCTCCGACCCTACCTGATAGGATCAGGTTTTTTTAAAATATTTCGAGTTCAGGTCGAGTCTGGTCAGATTTTTTTAAAGAGGCTAGTTCGGGTCGGGTGAAGGGAAAAGGGTGAAAAAACTCCAACCCGAACTGAGAAAAATAACGTAATTTTATTTAAAAATATTATTTTTAATTAAATCATTATTTTTTGTCGGGTCGAGTCAGATCGGATTTATACTCTAAAAATTCGAACCGGGTGAAAATCAAGTAGCGATTATATATTTTTTAGGCTAGGTCAAGTCAAGTAGAGTCAAATATAAGATACATATTTTCTGATCACGTCGGATTGACAAAAACCCAACCTAACACGACCCGTTGCGATCCCTAAGCAAAACCCAGGTCATTGAAAACGGTAAAAGAGTTGGTGGGTTTGGCTAGTCGCTCAACTGTTAACAACTTCATTTACCTTTTTTCCAAGTTGATCATTTTCAAATTCATTGCATTTTACTTGCTCAGATTAATGATGAATCGTGAAATATAGCCGACTTTTTACCTACCCACAGTGTCTTTATATATTGGTTTAAATATGAAAAACAAATTCTGGTGAGAGATAGCATTGCAAGGTTTCCCATATTCTCATATCTCAACAGAGTAACTATATATATAAATAAATTAAAACATGCCGTTTTAAGCAAGTTGGTTCTATGGTGTAGTGGTTAGCACTCTGGACTTTGAATCCAGCGACCTGGGTTCGACTCCCGGTAGGACCTTGGATTTTAAAAAACAAATTGTTATAATATGAATATAATATTAAATATCGAACTGGTTCGATGATGTAGTGGTTAGCTTTCTGGACTTTGAATCCAGTTGCCTTTATAATGTTTTTTTGTCAATTTTTTCCTTTTCCACATAATTGAATTTGGATTGAAACTTTGAGATCCATGCTTTCAAATTAGCCCACCTCAAATCATTAGGTATTAAGATATAGGCCAATCGTTTCACATCTTTACTTTACCCCAGATTTCACAATCAAAGGTGGGCAGCACCAGCTTATGAGAATTTAAAATACTGATACGAGTCTTAAAAGCCGCCATTTGTTTGACCATAAGCAAAGTGGAAATGGGTGCTTTGATGAAAATGATTCATCAAAAGGAATGCATATACATTATTTTCGTTTCTCAGATAAAAATAATCAAGTCTCATTGCATATTTCACTGCTTTCGATCATTGATAAGAAGCGAACATTTTCGTTTCTTAAATAATAAATTAGGCATGCCTTCTCTTGAAGAAGTTAGAAAGCAAGTAAATTGTTCTCAAAATAATGAGTTAAATTGTGTTCGGATTCCAAATTACAAGAGCCAATATGATGCATTATTGCGTTGCCTGCTTTCGTACACAAGGTATGCATGTTTGCTTCTAGATTATGACTTTTTCCCAGTGAATGTGATGTGATACGTCGAATTTCAATGGATCATATGCACATAAGAATTGCCTATGGACTATTGGATTGAGTCTTTCTAGGAAATAAGATCTGTACGGAACAAACCTGAAGCGGCACTTGCTGGAGATAGCATTGCTTCTGATGGATTTGGCTCCGATAAAAGCTAAATCTGCTGTTGATGTCATCGATAGGTATCGAGAAATAAATAGGGTTCCTTCTGCAGAGCAATCTTTCTATGAATCCGATGAAAAGAGTACAAAAATTCGGCATCGGAGAAGATTCAGCCTGCAGATAATTAAACCAAATCGAATAAGATATAGTATTGGGAGGTAATCAGTTATCACTAACACAGCAGAAAGCATTATTCGTTCACTTGACAACAGAAAAAATGAAGTTTGCCGATTGCCTACTTGCAGATGTTTGGACCACGGTATGGTTTTGATTACTTCCATGGCTGCGATAAAGAGACACCTGCAGTTAATGCCTCTAAACCCTGTTTTCCATGTATGGCAGATTCAAGGACATTGTATTGTTCATTCACAGACTTATACAGAGCTTGTGTGTATGCATCCTTGGCCTGCCCAACAGCAAAGCCAACTCATACCAATCAGAACTGGATTAACTTTTCAAATACCTATTGAGGTCACGTATCAGAAAATGCAAGTATAATAAGAACACAATTCAACCAACCTCCTTAGACTTTTCACAAGCAGCAGCAATTTCTGGGAAGCTTATTTCTGGTGCTACTGATAATCCAGCCCCATGAAAGGTGATTATTCTTTTTTCCCCAATTTCTTTTTCTACCTTAAAAAATGTCACTGAGTCAGAAGAGGGCAAATTTTATATAACAACAAACTGACAAACAAATACACACCTGCGGCGGAGGGGGCATGATGTCATAGCACAATAGAGCCAAGGGATATATATGCCCTGGAACCCCTGAATGTTCTATGAGCCGTCTCATATTGTCTACTGAAGAAGAATCAAAACGTGCCTGACACCCAAGAGTATACATATGTCCAAAGGATCAGGTCTTTTGGGGGTTTCTTATTAAGACAATTAAACAGAATGTCATGGTTTGTTGGATAAATATAAATCCCCTAATGCATGGTATTCTTAGAAATCTACAGACCTTGAATATATCAATACATGCTATTCTACATTTTGTTACCTGCGGCATCACATATCAATCATTTCTGTGAATAAAACCTGAAAATCTGATCTTCTCAATATATCTTAAAGGATAACATAGAGAAAACAGCGTGGTAAGTGGTAAAAAAAGATCTGCCAAAAACTCCCAAGAGTATAACCTCATTTAGGAAACAAACCCTGCACATAATATGTCTGCAAGCATATAAATCTAGATTATTTTAAATTCCCCCTCCTAACAAGAACCGTCTTGCTGTTAACTCATGAAGAAGATTAAAGCTTCACACTTAGCTTTGAACTAATGTTACTAATCATAAATAAGATAAGCAGCAGACTAAGACATGAATATGTCTCTTCCAGCTCTCTCTCTCTCTCTCTCTCTCTGAGTCATACTAACTTTAAGTGAAATTATGTTCCGGATTGGACGAAAGATGCTAATGAAAGCAGCTCTAATCCATTTCAAACTTTATAGCTATTTATTACCAGCTGAAATCAATATAATACAAACTGAAAAAAAAAATTGACAAACAATACAAATAAATAGATAGATAGTTAGATTATAAAGACAGGCTGCACAAGCTTACAGGATACCATTCTTCTGTAAGGGCATCTGGACGGTCCCTGCCACCACTTGCTGCAATCCATACTACCTTTGAGCCACCCCTATAACCAAACAAAATTTTGGTCTAAGGCTGAGCATATTTATAGTGAAAGACCATAGTGCAGATTCAGCCATGTTAAGTTAAAAGCATGACAGTTTGTCATTATTGAAGTACCTTAGCAGCAAAGCCATCTCTTTCAAACTTCTTGTGTTTGCTTTTCTTTTCATCTCAGCAAGTTCAGGAATATCATACATATGTTTTTTGGAGTATACACATAAAAGATTCCTAAGAGGATTGTAAAACAGTTTTAGGGGCTCTTTAGCATACTTTTGAATAATCAATCAAAATAGGTAGTAACTATTTGAGTACCTTCCCATGCTGAAAGGCTTGCAAAGAGGATCTGTTATGACTCTATCCCCAGCAACATAAATCTGTAGCTTGGAATCCAAGTATGGTCAAGGGCATAAATAGATAATGGCTACTAGAGCAAATTAAGACGTTTAAGAGAGAATCACCTTTCTTTCAGCAAGCTGTGGGTTTGTTTTCTCAAGCAACAATGAGATGATGATGGGATCAGCTTCAGTCTGATGGTTTGATATAAGTACAACATTGTGACCCTGCAACCAATTCTCTGAGAATTACATTCCATAAAAAGCCAGTGTAAATGTAAAATATTTAGCTAGTATTACGCACTTCCCGAGTTCCAGTTGCATGTAAAAAAATCCTTAATGTTGAAAACTTAGTATGACCATTTTTAGCTTATGCCAACAAAGTTGAAAGTAAAACACCATAAAAGCTCCTTGTCAAGACTAAGATACAAGTTCAGCTTTGCTTGCATAATAGAAATGTAAAATTGACAAGACAAAAAGTTGATGAAATTAAGGTATAAAAATAAGATGGATACCAGTTTCATGTACAAAAAACTGTTATTTGTATTTGTTTCTAATATGCATGTTCTCATTAGATAATCAAAGAACACATCTGGCAGAACAAAAATTTCATCAACTTACTACCAAGCAGCTTTTCATGTTCTTTAACAGTATATCTTTTCAAAATGTAAAACATGAGAAGCACATGCTGCCGCATTATTGTGACTTGCTTGGTCATGTTTAGAAGAACCCAGTAAAATGAAAAATAAAACTAAGCATTGTTACCTGCTTAAGCTTTTCTTCTATTTCATAGAAAAGAGAAAGATTGCCAATATATGAATTCCTGAAACGAAAATAAACACAAATGTTAAGAGAAGTGACTTGAAGAGAGAGAGAGAGAGAGCTAACAATCAAGCAAGAATTATAATCCCTACCCAACTGAGATATATATATTTATATATCCCATCCACTAACCTTAAAATTTAATACCTTGGTTTATAAAACAGAGATAAAATTGAAAAACTGCAAATCCCTCCGGCAAAGTGCATCCTGAATCTTAAGAAAGCTTCTATAAACTAAATCGGTATCAGTCCAGAATACTCCAGATACCAGAATAGGACGGTACAAAAGTTCTCCGCTCACCTGAAATCAATCAAAGGCCTGATATAATTTTGACCAAACATGTAGTAGTCAAACGGTTCCTGCAAAGCCTTGTGGTAGGGTTCAAAGACAAAAGGATCCTGAAAGATTACTGTCATATTTCATACAGAAGTTCATAAAAATTCATAATCTTCATGCAATACCTAAAAAAGGAAGTACACACATTTTACAAACTGCAGAATCATGCTGAAAAAGTACAGTTACCTCCACATCCAAAAGCATATGATCAAATGCAACTGTCATGTTCGAAAATACGATCTCAACAGCTGCAGGATGTCCACTTTGGAAAACCTAAATGTTGCCACATCATAGAAATTTCTCTTCAAGTTTTCAGAGGTACAAGCAAAAAGGTAAGCATTGAGTGATAAGGTTTACTAAGTACAGGAATTTACAGGTGATAAAGTATTCAAAACATGCAATTCGACAGAATACCCTCCCATTAATTTTTCAGTGCAGATACACCTTTTTTTCTTTCTTGTATAAATTTAGGTCCAATCAGACCTCAAAACAATTATGATTTTTTTAAGAAAAAAAGACAAACTAGATTTTATAAAGAAGTTATATCAAATTATTTAGCATTATCTTGTTTACACACCTGGTTCTCATAAAACATAGTGTATCTTAAGCCAGGTTTATAATGCATTCAGAGTAAGAAAATTCGGATATTTTAAAACATATTGTCTATTAAATTATGAGCTTAATGCAGTAGACTGATAGTACTTTCTAATTTCTATAAGCAAGAAAGGGAATGTTGCAACCTAGAACAACATAGTTTATGCAGAGGAGAACCTATCATATCCAAAACATACACTGCTATGCACTGAAGAAAGAGTTTAAGCATATTAATTTACTGCATTTCTATAATTCTGATACAATTCTTCCATTCCCGCTGCAACATTTGGAGGTAGCCTTCCAGCTTCTACTTCCTTCCTAATTCCAGATAGGAGTTCTGTAGACAAATAAGCCTCATGAGACAATAAAACCAGTTCTCTAGTTCATTTTTTGGAACTATAAAAGGACGTGAATAAAATTAAACAACAGGATCATTCAATGTAGGGAAATATTCTCTTTTATTTGTCTAGGTCAATTATTCCTTCAATCCACAAACCTTTCTAAGCTCCTTATGTTTTTATTCCCTTTCCAATATATCTCCCTTTTTCATGCTCCTCAAATTGACCTGAGTCCATTTGTCTTTTTTTGGGACCATTAAAATTTATTCGTAAGTATTCTTTTGCTAAAGTCTTAAAAGTATGATTATCCTCATACTTGATCATTTTGCCCCAGATATATCCTTTCTAATCAACAGATTGTCATTACTCATTACGCCAGTTGTTCGAATGCTTGAACAGTTGAACATGTTCTTGATCAACGCATGGAATGTTGGATGAACGGACTGAACAGCTCTTAACAGAAACTGTGTCAGGTAAACTAAATTTCAACAGCAGAATCGTAATGTTAAGCAAGGTAAATTTTCGCAAGTTTAACATTTTCAATTGTTAATTTCATTAACCAGCGACTATTTTCAGCACCATATTAAGCGAATTTGTTTTAATCCAAACTTCTTGGGATTTTCCTATTTAAATAGCGGTAAGCAAATAATTCATAAACATGTTCATTAAATACTAAAGTGACCTTTTCTTAAAGGCTATTTTTATGAGGTAATAAATTTAGTTTTCTCTTCTATATTGGAAAAATGCAGTTGGCTAACACAAAAACATAACAGATTTGTCCAACAGCAATTCCTTATGTTCGTAATTTGTATAACGAACTCCTCCTCGGGAGGAAAGAGGAAGAAGAAGACATCACAACATTTATACCAACTGTTAGAGAAAATAAACGCATTAAAAACTTATTTTAAAGAATGTGAAAAAGAAAAAAGAAGAAAACGAACCTTGCTCGGAGTGAGCTTCAATAAAGGTACGGGAATGCTCAACCACCGGCTTCCCGCCTCCAGTGCCGCCGGTGACAGCTACACCTGATTCCTTATCTTGAACGACCTCAGCCGTTGCTTTAACTTTCAAGGAGTAAAACAAAGAAGAGCGGATCCTGGTTGTTGTTGTTGTAGTAGCCGTTCTGGAAGTAGATCGAAAAAGCTGAAGCCGCTGAAACGGAACCAAAGGAGAAGAGGATTTGATAGAGGAGGACAATGCCTCCTTAGTGCATGTTGCACTGAAGAATGGGAGAGGCAAAGAAGACATATTTGAGAGAGTTTTGGATTTTGATTAAAAAAATGGAGAAAAAAAAGAGAAAGAAAAACGATTGAAAGGAGGAGAAAACAAAAGGAAAAATGAAATTCTCTTATTATCTGTTTTGAACGAGTCGGGGGGGGGGGGGAGAATTGGAAATGTAGGAATTGAATTTTTTATTTCTTTTATAGCTTTAGTTTTGGGAGCGCTAGCACGTGGTTTACAGCGACCCAGGGCAGACAATTTGGGAAAATAGCTGCAGTTGCTGACGTGTAGGGGTATGCATTGGGGGAGGTTACCAAGATGCGTTGCTTCCAATGATTGCCACTTGTCATTATTGTCTCAAGGATAAGCCATATAAATAGTTATTCTATTTTAGGACGTTTATGTAAAAAAAACTTTAATAATGAAATATTATATCACATCTCTTCTTCAAATATTATTAAATTAACATATTTTTTTATAAAGCACCTATCATGAAGTCTTTGTAGAGTTTAGTCCAAGCTATCGTTACAATAGAAAGGCACAGATCATAACATGTTGTAATTTCCTTCATATTTCATTATGTCATTGAATTCAGCTATAATTAAATACGATTAGACATGATTTGATATCTCTAATTTAATATTACGAATAAATTAATCTAGTATACGGTCATTCACTTAAATAAATAAATAGTATATAAATTAAAATATAAACTAATACTAAAAAATAACTAAATAAAACATTCATAATAAAAAAATAACATAATTTAAAATTATTATCGTATCGAAAAAATAACTCAAAATATGATTCTCATCTAAACACAACAACTCACATGTCATTTTATAACTACAAAAGTAATAAAAATAGTATAATAAAATTATAAACTATTAAAATTATTATAATATAATAAAAAAATGCTTCTAAAAATGATAATTAAACATTTTTAAAACTTAATAGAAATATAGATAGAATGAAGAAATATAATATTTTCGTTTGTGGTGTGTGTTAAAAGGGAGAGGGGGACGAATGGTTGGACGGTATTTATGGCGGACGATTGGATTTAAATTGATCTGCGCCTTTTGTCAGCTTGAACAGAATCCCGTGAAGGCGCGCTTCATGATCCGCACCTTCTAACGTGGCACCAGCTCGGACAGAACCCCGCGAAAGCACACCTCATGATTCGTGCCTTTCCACCGTGGTGCCAACTCGGACAGTACTCGCGAAGACGCGCTTTATGATCCACGCTTAGTCAGAAAAGGTACTAGATTGATAATATTTGGAGAAAGTATACCTGACATGTAACATTTCGTTGTTAGGGTGATTTTTGGATAAAAATGACAAATTTTAATACTTCATCTAATTTTGGAAATATAAATTAATATTTTAATAAAAAAATTAGACATGTTTCCATTATTTAAAAAAATAAAATAGAAGTCTCGTTAAAATATCCCTCCTACTAACACAAGATTAAAGTACTACAAAAAAAAAAGTACCCAACACTTATTCATTAATCCCATAATAGGTTCACTCGTTATCTAATTATCTAATTAATACATGTATTATATTGGATTCTTAAATGTCATTCAAATCGTTTTTCATCTCAATATCACACATATTATACGTCATTAACATGTTCACTCACTTATATGATGGAATTTAAAATGTACCTCTCGGTTAAGTGAGAAATTTACATGTAACACATTTTTTAAAAATAATTTATTTATTTTAGGTATATAGTATGATTAATCTCCCAATGTTTTTATCCATTTTTCAATTTCATTCTTCAGATTCTTTTTATTTTCATGAAAAGATCATTTTTTCACGAGTTCTCTCACCTACTCCACCAAGTATCGAAACATCCTATGAGCTTTTCGCAATGTTGTTGATTAATTCCGTAGTAAGTGTTATTTTACCTCTTTGTTTCCCTCTCATATAGTCCAACTTTTCTCCACAACAATAAGGAATTAAAATATATAAAAAATATTAAATATATAATAACTTTAAATTTTTAGATAAGACAACTACTCACACCCATTCCTCAATGTATCTATGTCAGTAATATAAGTCGATAATTAAACATTCTCGTGCTTTTATTAAAGCTTGTTTTAAGTGAGTTTTGTTTTCTTCTTTGCTTTTTTTTTTTGCATGGAAAAAGATAAAACAGAAAGCTACATTAGCTAGTCACTCTATTATCTGCAGACAGTAACTTCCCTGTCGTACTCCATTGCAACGGCCTCCAGTGGATGCTGGTAAAACCGAATTTCGAACTCTATCGGTCGAGCAATCTTCGTCATTCCATCCGCAATAGTATTGCATTGTCTCGGTACATGTTGGAAAACTATCCTCCAATTCATTTTAATTAAATCCGCAATGTGTGGAACCAGCGATGAGCTACCCCTCCCACTTCCTTCCTCCTACAACACGTTCTTTGCTTCCCCATAGTCTGTTTCAACAATAACAGCTGGTAGTTGCAAATCCCAGGCCACCTTTAGGCCCTCTAAAATCCCCCATTACTCTGCATCTAGCAGTGAACAAATGCATTTTCGAATAAAATATCACAAATATAAGGGTATAATATAAATAATGATCATATTTTGATTCCTTCGCGATCAAACGGTCGAAAATGAACAATGAGATTTGTGTGCAATAAAACAAACAAATGGATTGGATGGTAATTTCCATCTATAAAATCTTTTAAAATGCCAAAAGCTGATGCCACACCGCCCACATGTATGTCGCAACGGCCCATTTCGCCTGTCTTTGGACGCTGGCCGGCAATTTTTTCCATATCGGAGATTGTCGTCCCTCTCGCGGCAAAATGACGTCGTTCCGAGCCTTCCTTGGCGTTTCAGCTCCTCCTCTCTCTTCTCTCGGCACCACCGCTTCCTTTCCAACTCTCCCCAACTCACTTACTCAACGCCGGTCCTTTCTCGTCCACTCATCTATTCATTTTCCCCATCAATATAAATTATATTCACTATTTCTGTGTTCGTTTTTCAATATATCTTTTTCGGTTTGAATTTATCATTTCTGCATGTCGAGAATTTGTATCTCTTCTGTTCTATAACTTCTTGATTTTTCTTTGAAAATTTAAGGATAATTTTTACTAGTATGTTACTGAAATTTGATAGGTTCCTTCATTTTTTTTCTTTTTTGGCAATTTGGCGAGTCTTATTTGTGAATTGAAGAACTTCTCTTTGTCTTGTAGAAAATTGAAAACTTTTGCCTCCTTTCTCAGCTTTTGATGGTTTTTTTTGTCTGTTTTCAATTGCAGCTTGTGCAAGTTCGGCGTGAAATGTAGCTATGCGGAAGCAGGAACCAGTGATGACTCAAGATCAGCTACAATAGACGTTGTAGCTGATGTCAAGAACGAACGGGTATGTCTACACTGGATAAATCGATAAACCTGCTTCCTTTGTGTGTTAATAATGTTAGCTCATATATCTTACCAGCATGTTTTGTTAGTAGATTGTAGTCTTAGGAGGAAGTGGTTTTGTTGGTTCTGCAATATGCAAGGCTGCGGTATCCAAGGGCATAGAGGTCCTAAGTCTAAGCAGGTCTCAAATATTATCTCAAGTGGTTTGACTTGCTTATGTTGCCCTTTTCTGGGTGATTACGAGCTTATTGCTTCTGTAAACTTTTGAAGTACTAGTAATGATTTTTTTGAGAACTTAGCTTTGAGTTTTGATTGTTACATCAGGTCAGGGCGTCCTACTTACTCTGTCTCGTGGGTGGATCAGGTTAACTGGATACCAGGCAAGTTTTACCTTTCTTTACAATTTATATTGAGTACATACCATTGAATGCTAAAGTCCTGAATTTGCTTTTGAAGCTTATTTCCTTTTGGCATGGATATCTGATAATATAGGAAGAATGACATGCTTGTAGATGACTAGTTATCTTTTAGAAGCTGGAGAATCAACAATCCTAGACTTGTTTCATCTTTCAATTGCAACAAGAGAGCTACATGTCTTTTGGTGTTGCATACATTTTGCATTGATCCTACCTTCCTACAACCCTTTGAGTAGACCATTGCTTACCAACAAGATCCTACTTAGGTTTGGGTTTATGTAAAATCTTTCTTGCTATTTGATTCATCTTATTCTTAGTTCACTTGTCCATATTTGTGTAGGAATTTGAGTTAACAATTTAGCTTGTTGTTTCACAGGAGATGTTTTTTATGCTAACTGGGATTAAGTACTGGTTGGAGCTACAGCTGTGATTTCAACTCTTGGAGGTTTTGGAAGTGAGGAGCAGATGAAAAGAATTAACGGCGAGGCTAATGTTGTGGCTGTAAATGCTGCCAAGGATTTTGGTAAGGATTGCTGGTGATAACTTATATCTTATTAAATTCATAAGTTAATTTATTGGTCAGGAATATATCCTCCTTAATGCCTTCTATTTTCCTTGTAGGGATTCCGAAATTTATCTTAATTTCAGTTCATGATTACAATCTACCACCATTTTTACTTCAATATGCATACTTCACATCGAAGAGGAAAGCAGAATCAGAAGTACTATCCAAATATCCAAGCTCAGGTAATTTTTAATGACTTAACCTTCTTTGTTCTTGCGCACACGTAACATAAGATTTTTGAGTGCCTGATTAATTATTTAAAACCAATAGCAAGATAGAGACTTCTTTCAATCAATTAGCTGGTAGGGGCAGTCATTTTATGTCAAAAGTCACTTCAGGATGAACAGGCCTTTCTTAAAAATGTTAGTGCACCAACCTGATTTGACGCTATCCTCGTGACTTTGAAGGAAAGGGAAAGGTGCTAGACTAGGTTATTTGGTAACATCTAAGTGAGAACTCCTAAAGAAGAGTTATCATCAGTACCTGGTTGTTATACATATCAACCGAGCCTGGGGCACCTCACCGGGTTGAGCACTTTGACCAAGAAAGGCTCATCCAGCTATGTACCTCACCGGGTACATCAGGATCCACTGGAAGACTTCCCCAGCACATCCAAGTAGACATGCGATACAAGTCTTTCATACCTTTGCCGCCGGCTACCTATGTTATGGCCCAACCACATTCTAGGAAAGCACTTCATGTTCCCACCACCAACCTTACGCAATCGGAGTCAGTTCCATTACCAATACAAGACCCTCTCCATCACCAGAAGAGCTGAGACTCTCCTCACCCATTACTATAGAAACTCTGCCATGCTATCTCCAAAACTCTCCATCTTTGTCAGAGACTCAGATCCCTCCAAACCCCCGCTAATGGCTCTCAACACCACTGCATTAACTGTTCCTAACCTTCAAACTCAAACCTTGTATCAACAGTGGCAAACTTCATAAGATTGTCTTCTTTTATAACTTGTGTCCACCTGAATATCATGCATCTAATGTTATGTGCTCAGAAGTCCTCTTTTTTTAAGTTCATTTTACTTTTAACACCTTTTTTTCCCGTACTCTAATCCTTCTGTAGTGAGTGTCCCAACTGTTATTGGTTTTGGATTTCAGGTGTTGTCCTAAGACCAGGTTTTATATATGAAAAAAGGCGAGTGGATGGTTTTGAGCTTCCACTTGATCTGGTTGGGGAACCACTGGAAAAAGTTCTTAGTGCTGTAGAGAACTTCACAAAGCCTTTAAAATCTCTTCCAGCATCTGATTTGATCCTGGCTCCACCAGTTAGCGTAGATGATCTTGCATATGCAGTCATCAATGCAGTAACAGATGATGACTTCTTCGGCGTTTTCACTATCGAACAAATCAAAGAAGCAGCAGCAAAAGTGAAAGTTTGAATCGCTTCTACACATTGAACTAGTTGTCATAATCTCTAGTATTTCAACATCTGCAATGCCGCTTTCAATCCGATCGCGAATAATAACTAAATGCAAAGTTGAGCTGTTCTGAGGTTAAAAAGTTTAACCTGTAAATAATATTGAAGCAGAGAACATGTATATTATGGAGTTCCAGGCCCCATCCTTTTATAAAAGACACGAGAATAGTAATTGGCACATTGCCTATAATTGACAATGAAACACAATTATATAAAACTATCATGTTATATATTATTTTCATTGTTTTTTTTATTTTTTTAAGATACTTTTTAATTTGAATATTTGTTTATATAATCAATTTTTTTTAGAAAAAATATAATGAATATTTTATTTTTTAAGTATAAATGGTATCATGATTTGAATAAAGAAACTTTTTTTTGTTCCACGCGATAAAAAAATAAATAAAATTTATTAATTAAAACGGGCAAAACACTTGTGTTTCTCGGATTCCAGTCGATAATGACGAGTATTATCCCCTGCAATCGGCACCACACTCATTTTATTATTAGCTCCATTTTTTTTCCTATTCTATACAGTCAAAATTCTTGTTTCCCCCAATTACCCTTACTAACAACCGCCTTTTAGGCTTTAAATAATTTTTTCAATCCCGAAACGACCCTTATCCACATCAACTGATTTCCTCTCCAGAAACTGAACCGTGGATGACGGATCCAATAAAAGATCGACACGTTGACAGAACAATTTGTCACGGTTGACTAATTTATCCTTTCCACGTAAGTGAACTTTGATAGTTGGATTCTCCATTGCTTTTCGTCCAAGAATGCGAGATGAAGTAAAAAAAATTGGGTAAAATACACGAATCATCACTATACTTTTCTCTATTTTCTATTTTACTCACTTATTTTAAATCTATTTAACTTTTTCACTTAACTTTATACATTTAATGTTTTTGGTCACTCGACCGTTTTCTACTAACGGCGTTATGACGTGAATTTTTTCTTATTATTTTTATTAACATTTTCCAAGTCAAAGAAAAAAGTTTAAAAAAAACTCTTTTTTATTCCCCCATTCTCTTTTCCGCAGCCAATGCCAAAAGCATGGATCTTTCGACGGATCGGTCGAGGCCGTTTGTAGACGGTGGAACATCCGGCAATGAATTCGTCACCCCACCGCTAAAATCGGGACCCAAAGGCAATGTTGCAGCCACGGTGCTTATACAATCAAAGCCATTGCTACCAACTCCGAGTTCTAGAATCGAGTTTGGCATTGGAGGTGCAATTGAAGCGGCTAGTGATGAAATGGGTCGCCCCAAAAACTTGCCGGCGAGTCAAGTCCCTGAATCGGATTAAGATGTGGAGGAAAAAGGCTAGCGATGAAATGGGTCGCCAGTATCAATAACAAGCACAACAATTTCAATAGCAACAACATAAACCCTATAAGTCAAAATACACAATAGAAACTTTGACCCGATTGATCCGAAACGAAAAATAAAAGAAAACCCAGAAACATCTAGAAATATTGAAAGCCTAACCAACCTCGGATTTATGCATCCATGGATCAACTCAAGCACTTTGGGTTTTAATTTTTCAGAACGAATATGATGAGACCCTAAAGTTCAAGGATTGGAAGAACAGCTTCAGCAGTAAAACAAGGTATGCAAAGCAAGTTAAAGGAGAAAGCTTGAAAGTTACAGAGAAGAAGAAGAATAGATAGAAAACAAAATAAGGATCAAAAGAAGAAAAAGGAAGAGTACAGAAAAGGTTGCTCGTAGCCTGGTGGAAGGATATAGAGAAGAGAGAGAAGAAGAGGGTGGAGGAGAGGATGGGGAATGTGGTGATGGAGAAGAACAGTTGAGTTGTGATGGCGTGTTTACCCTTTCAACTTTTTTTCTTTTCTTGGAAAATAGTAAGTACAAATAAAATAAAAAATCCACGTTATAACGTGGTTAACGGGAGAAACGGTTGAGTGACCAAAAGTGTTAATTATATTAAATTCACTACGGAAATTAAATCGATTTAAAGTTTAGTGGTGAAATAGGAATAGTGAAAAGTACAGTGACAATCCGTGTAATTTACCCAAGAAAATTACTAATACTTGACTTAGGGTTCTACAATTTCCGTTTTCTCTTTATATCTCCCCCTTCTTTCCAAAGAGAAGCAAAAGAATCACTCCAGTTCTTCTCATCTGCAGGTAATATTTTTCATTATTCTTTTAGTTTAGGCTTTCTTTTCCCCCATGTTTTTGGCTTTAATTTCTAAGAGCGAATTCGGTAGATCGTTCCTGATATTGGCATCTGCGAGGCGTTGAATTCATTCTGTTGAATGATTAATTCTTTTGATGGATGATCTCTGTGGTACTTGTTTTCTTCGACGATCAAGAAAAATATTTGTAGTATTCTAATTTTGAGAAATTATGCTTTAAGATTTTCATTTTCTCTATCTTCCAGTTTTTGCGATAAATTGCAAGATCTTCTAAAATATTTATTAGAATAAATTTTTGTTTGAATTATTTTCGGTTCTAGAAAAATATTTATTTACGTTCTTTTTTTTAAAATAAAGATAGGAATTTATGTTCTAAGGTTGAAATTTTCTATTTTAAATTTTTCGATCTATTTGTTTTCTCGAGAAACCCCATATTTCTTGTTATTCTATTTTCCTTAACTTTTTTCTCGGTGTAGAGAATCTGTAGTTTTGTTATTTTGGGTGAAATATATTTTGAGTTGATTTTATGTTTCCACTTTATTATTGTTGTTGTTGTTATTATCTTGAGTCTCTATCCATTTTTGAGAATTTACTACTTTTTCTGAATCTTTGTTTTGTTTGGTTTCACTATTTTTTGCTCAATTTTCTTGACAGAAATCAGAGCAGGATTAGAATTTTTGGAATACTTTTGGGTTTTTCCGTTGCCAATGCTGTTTCTGTTTCTGTTTCGAGATTTATGTAATTAGTGCTCACTATCAAGTGAATTTTATGATTTTGTAAAAAGAAATATTATTATTTTTAAGGCCAGTTTGATATGTGATACTTAAAATTGATTTCTCAGAAGCTCTAAATAAAGAAAAGTATAAAAACATTTCTTCTGTTGGTTACTTTTATACGTTTGAACATATAAAAATGGAACCAAAGAATTGTTGAGTCATAAATTTTATAAAATACTTTGCTACAATATTTGTAGGTGCTTTTATGTTGCATCCGGAGGTAGGGTACCAAATGCTGTAGAATAATAAAGAAGTTGCTATCTCTTTCTCTGAAGTAATTGTAAAGAAAAAAAATGAAGAGGAACATTTACAAAACGAACACGTGCTAGATGGAAATGTACATGATTGACACTGACTTCAGTTCTAGGTATGTGTTCCTCTTGCTCTGTGGTGATTCTGATAAGTTTGGTTTGATATGCTTTCAGTTGTTTCATGGTTGCTTATGTTCCAATTAGTAATTTAGTATGGCTTCATATCCATACCATTTTAATGTCCTGACCCTTTTTTCTTTTTTTTTCAGGATTTGCACATCAACTTTTAGGAGACAGTGTCTTTTACTTTGGTAGAAGGTTAGACTTTGAATTCTTTTTTACTGTAGAAGTATTGGTTTTAAACTTGTTGATAGGGATTCATCTAGGAAGAAATGGAAGCACCGAATGCCACAATATCGGATAGTAAGCCTCCGGTTCTGCATGGCTCAAAGAGGAAGCTGGCAACACAGCTTACGACAGACTTTCCTGGGGCTTCACATGTGATTTCACGGCGGCTGCCTGGCTTGTGTTTAGCTTCCCAGAAGCATGGCAAGCGTAGGAGGTTAAATGATTGCAAAGGCAGAGTTGTGAGTTGTGGTTTTACTTCAAAAAGATCTTTGTTACTTTGCTATTCAAATTTTAAGAAAACAGGCATTCCAAAGCGCATAATGTACTATGAGAAGGGTGAATGGACTGATTTTCCCCACGATCTTATTGCCTCAATCAGGAAAGATCTCAATACAAAGAAGCCAGCTATTGAGGCTGAGATAGATGGTCAATCTTTTCTGCTAGATTTCTTGCATATGTTTCGACTGGAGCTGGAAACTGGCATAATGCACCCGATTGGTTGGATTGATGAAGCTGATGGCTGTTTCTTTCCTGAGACTTTTACCAGTGGTGATGAAGAATGTCAGTGCTGTGAACATGAATATGTGAATGATATGTTTAGTGAATCTCATTTCCCCCATGAGATCAAGCTGCACCTTGAGATTGACATTAATGGTGTTGAGCAGCCAAAGTTGAAGGAATGTAGTGCGGAATCAAATTCTTTCGAGAGACATATTCAAATTGCTCAGAAACCTGCCTCTAGTTATTGTGCTATAGAAGTTGAGGATAATTGCAATAGGGATGCGGATGGAGAACCCAACAAAGCTGTTGAGGATATTCAAGAGACAAAGATAAACTCGGTCGATGAAAACCAGTTTGTAGATGTACAGTTCAATGAGCAGTTGGACTCTTCTGCTGTTGAGAACATGTTTCTCATGGGTATGAACCCTTGTGGAGGTGTGGATAAGCTCAATATAAAACCCTGCTCCAGTACACAATATAGATTAGAAAGATTCCTTAAGCAGGTTGAAATCATGAAAAAGTATAGGGGTACTGCAAATGTTCAATGTGCATGGCTTGCTTCCTCCAAAGCAGCATTGTCCACCATCATGATGCATGGGTTTGCGCACTGTGGTCTTTCTGCAATCCCACACTTATATGGCTCTGGTATTCATCTTGCTGCATCAGAATGTATTAATGCCAGGTTGGAGGTTCTTCATTGTTTTTTGTCCTAGTACTACTATGAAAGTCTTTTATTGTTTTGCTTTCTCTTGGAAAATGTTGCCAAGGGTAGTGATACTTTGTAAATTACAAAATGATCAGTTCTGCCTTGCTTTTTGAAATGGCCTACCTTTCCTGTTCCCCTTCAAAGATAAATGATTAGGACTTTGCGATTACAAAATGATTTGCTCTCTGTTACTTTTTGAAACAAAGTATGAATGACGTTAGTCATCCATTTTTACCTTATAACGAGCCTTGGCTTTTTTAAGTGCTTAGAATGTAATAAATGAAACTGTTTCTTCGCTGTTTTTTTCTACACTTTGTTTTAAGTTTCCCAAAAGTGGACATTATTTAGATTCCACAATAGTATTATGGATTCAACTATGGAAATGCAGATAGGATATTTTTTTGTTCCACTTTTGTGATTCGTGTATTTGTAAGGTTCACTCTGAACACAGATTTGTTGCTTCTATAAAATTTACTTTTGATGCTCCTTGATATCTCTTCCATTAGGTGGATATCTCTTTTGTTAGGTGCTAGTTACCACTGGCTAGTGTCTGTTTTCTTCAGTTCTTTTCCTTTATCTGCCATTTGGTTTTAGAATCCGATCCAGATGAATGTCACTATTTTTTAAAACATCTTCAAGATACCTTTTCCATACTATGTTGATGCTGAATGTTATTTTTTATTTGTGCAGTGCAAAGTATTGTGATATTGACGAAAATGGAGTGCAGTACATGATATTATGTCATGTAATAGTGGGAAAGACGGAGCTTCTTTGCCCTGGAAGTGGACAATGCCTTCCTAGCAGTGAGGATGTTGATAGTGGAGTGGATGATCTTCAACATCCAAAGTATTATATTACCTGGAACATGAATATCAATACTCATATTTATCCTGAATATTTTGTTAGTTTCAAGCTCTCCTCCAATGATAAAGGTGATCTATGCATTCTTCCTTTCTGTCATCTAACATCACACTGGAAGATATTCTCAAACATAGAACATTGCAATTAATTTTGATGATTGGCAATCAACTAAATGACTGTCAATCATGTAATCTCCATTTCAACCTTGATGGCCAAAGTTCTTTGTTAATTTAAGAAACAAGACTTCTTCCCTGTGTGTTGTTATCCACCTTTTGGTGGGGAATTTGTTGTTCCACTTCAGATGGCTAATAACTCCGGCTAGTCCAATGGCTTGGCTGTGTTTTCTGCAAGTTCTGTATGGCTATATATAAATATTTTAAGGTTTTTAGCTCTTGAAATTTATTTGTACCAATAGGCCATTCGATTGGAAATGAGGCTAATCATGCTGTTTCAGGTGTTATTGCCTCATCGAAAGGATTCCAAGGGCATTTGTCATGCAACAATATATTCAGGATAAATGTGCGTGTTGCTATTATTTGCCTATTAGCTGGCTGAAATGGCAGTCTTAAAATACATATATTTTTTGAGGTTTGCTTATTTTGCTGCTGATGTTTTTCTTGTCATTTAGGGGAGTATTAATCACCAAAATTCAGATTCAAGGGGATTCCAAGAAAATGATCCTACTCTGGGTTCAAGGACCACTAAATCCCCTTGGATGCCTTTCCCTATGTTGTTTGCTGCTATCTCAAATAAAATTCCTCGTGTAGATATGGACCAAGTCTCTAATCATTATGAACTATTCAGGGTATGTTTGATAATATGTTTAATTGTTGGTTCCTCCCTGGTTTTAAATAAAGTTTCTGATTCTTCTGTATTATATCGTTTTTGCTTCAAAAGGCAAAGAAGATAACTCGTGATGATTTTGTCAAAAAGTTGAGATTGGTAGTTGGGGATGGTTTGTTAAAGTCAACAATTACATCTCTGCAACGCAAGGTATGATATTAGACTTGCATGTTTTAATTGCTCTTCAATGCAATGCCACTACAATATGTTTGATTTATAGTTAATCTGATCTAATCTTCCGGCAATTTGTAGGATACCACCTAGGCATGAATTGGAGGTTGCAAAACAGAACATGAAGGGTCCTGAAAGCCTCTGAGTTTACCATTTATATATATCTTATGCTAAGCTCCAAAGGTATTGGTGCTGTCCAGTGACTCGTGGTTCTTGCTATCAAAATCCGTCGACATGATATGGACATGTTTGGAGGCACTACGTAGACATATTTGAAGGTAAAGCTCTGACCTGGTTTTCGGTGGTGTAATTGCTAGGTACTTCTCCCTAGTCTCTTGCAACAATGATTTCGTATTCTCTTAAACCCAAGATTTTGTTTTCAACCGGAACTGGCTTGCAAGCCCCTTATCATAGATTTTTTTCTTTCCTGAATTTGAACGTGCTGCATCGACGTTTTGTGCAAATAATAATGAATTTTTCTACACTTTTCATTTCGGAAGTTTCATTCAATACCTAATGTGACGAGGGAGTTTCAAACTTGGAAAAAGGCAAAAACAAGTGTACAAAAGGTCAATCGTGGAAAATTCGTAAGAGATTCGGATGAACTCACATGAAAATTAGACTGCTCTCCCTTTCTCTGGGTAATTATAAGGAAAGAGTACAGAGTACTGGCTCAATCGAGCAAAGTGGGATTGGGTTGAAACAATCAGTCTTAAATTTCGAATGGCTTTAGTTTTGGTCCTTAAGAATAAGTGAGAAATCGGATACCTGTTCAATGACCTCGAAAAAGGAAAGTGATCGAAAATTTTGCAACATTACTAAGAAAAAAGAAGACATTTGTCTTTGGATAGAGATCATAGCTCTTTTATAAACAGCTGTGCAGATTTCCGTTTGTTGCTTTATTGTAAATTGTAAAGAAGATTCCTTTCATCCCCCAAAAAAAATCACTTGCTATTCCCTGAATCTCTCATTGGAGAGCCTCTCTTGTTCTACTTTCTTGGGTCTGAAACTTGAACTGTGTAATCTTTGCATAAATATCCAAATGTACTCTTGATACGAGAGAAAAAATTCTATAAAAACCATAGACCAAAAGAACCAATCAACTAGAGCTAGCGGTCCAATAGTACTGAAACAAAATACAAAAAAAGTGAAAAGCTAGATGGGAAAAGTCGAAAAGAAGAGAAAATGAAAAGTGGGTGAGAGAGCGGTCCACTCCGAGTGGTGGGGAGAGTCAATGAGAGGGTTTAGTGGTTGTGGTAGTCTCCTCTGTGAAGATAAAATGTTTGAGCATTTGTCACATCACCTCGCATTTAAAGCTCCTAATTATTCATGAATGATTCATTTCGGACTTCCAATAAAAATTAGCCAAAAGAAAAACCTTTATGACATCTTAACATCCCCTTCCCTTATCATTTCACATTCTCAAAACATGCCCCCCCCCCCAAGTCTTTCTCCCACATCAAATCAATCCCTCTAAAATTGAATTTTTCAATAAATATTCAAAACCGTACGTATAAATAAAAGGGATGTATATAGATGGCACGAAAGTTTTAGGCTTTGCTGGATTGTCGTACAATCAATGCAATGTGTGTGTGTAATGTTAATAAAAAGGGAGTTGGTTAATGGTTTTTATCAATCACAAGTGATAGTGAAAGTTTGGTGTGGCTAATTTATGACATGATGGTGGAGTATCATTAATGCAAGCTGGACTTCGAAAATAAACCAACCAATTTCATCTACTCATTTATTATGTTTGCCTTTTGCTCTTCACTTGCCTATATGTGTGTAAAACTCTTTTAATTTTACATTTTTTTTAGAATTGGATTGAGAAAAATCAAAAGATGTGATTATCTCATTGTTTTTTAGTGAATATCTTCTAATTATCTATAATTAATCTCATCCTTTAATTTCTCTCACCCAATTGTCCTAAAAAGGTATAAAACTAAAAGAGTTTACATTGTGAAGAGACTCTTAATATCCTAGCGTAATTACAATGTAATATGTTCGGAATTTTTTTAATCTATTGACAATGCGCATATATCTTACAATCATAATTGCTCAAACCAAATACCTCTAAGAAAATAATTTTACTTTTTATCACTGAGACCAAGTTGATGGGTTAAATTTTATCACATTTATAATATTATTTTGCTTGAAATATTATTTCGGTGCCAGTATGGAATTATATCCTCAAATAGGCTTTTAATTGTTTTAGAACATTATAATTTTATATGCAAACGATCAAATATCACAATATTTAATATATAAAAAGGATAAATTCATTAAGTGATTTCAATAATAAAAGAAAATATTATTTTTATAAAAAAATCTCAGTTTGAGTAATTGCATCCGTAGGATATGTTTGCGTTGTTAATAACTATAAAAAATTATAAATATATATTACATTATGATCTACAAAACTAATGAAAAATAGTATAAAAAGGGCTTTTTGAACTAACTTTTTGAATGTATTAAATATTTATATTCATTGCTCTTCCTTGTATATACGTGTTAGGGCAGTGTCAAAGTAGTAGATTAGCCCAAGGAAACGACGCAGTTTTTGGTGCTTTTAGGGAGGAAAACAAGGTGCTCCCTGAAATCGGATGGCTGGAAGTGGCAATCCACCACATCAAACAAACTTGATGCTGACACGTGTGGAACAAGAATGGATGAACGGATGATAGCGTAATGATGATAAAATAATTAATTTTGACATTTACGTGGACTGTATATTTGTGCAATTGTGGTTAGTGCAATGCAGTTGTGATTTTTATATGTAAATTAAAAATGATATCACTGTATTTTACTCTCTCTTTTTATTTTAATTTTCATTCAACGTTAAAAGTTTTTAATTTACTTACTGAACTTAATACATTAGATTTCTTTGGTTATTGAAGTTTACTCTCTCTTATTTTGATCACTCTATCGTCAAATAGTTGACGGCGTTAAAAACGACATCGTTTAAAAAAAAAAAATTGTCATCAAAACAAATTCATTAACAACTCATTTTAACGCCGTTAACTATTTAACAACTAAGTGACGGTAAAATAATTATATTAAGTTCAATTACTAAATTAATTTACCCGATTTTTTGTTAATGAAATGACTTAATTTTTACTCATACGGCCTCTCTACCTTCCCTACCCAAGGCTTTTACCCTTATTTATGCTTTTTGGGTGGGCAGGTGAGTCACCCAGTCTAGTTCTCCTTTTTCAACCATTTAAATCTTACCACTTTTTGTTTAGTATTTGTTTTAAGGATGAGTTTAAAATACAATCCATTAATATAATGTGAAAAGAGTTAAAAAATGACTGTAATTGAAAAAAAGTATAAAGAGTAACTTTTTAGAACAAACTGAGTAATATCAAGGTTGAAATAAAAAAATGTTTTGTTTTTTTATATTAATTCATGTAAATTGTATAATAATTTTGGTTACAGCTTAAAGAGTTATTGTTAAGATATTTTATATTGTAATCAAAATTATTATCAATTGTGTAATTTTTTAAATAGACAATAGCATTTTAGGTTAAAATTTATTATAATGTAACATTCTCGATTGTAACAAAATTATTATCGATTTGTATAATTTTTATTTGAATAAAATAACATTTTAGTTAAAAAAAACCCTGTCATAAATCAACTTTAAGGGGTTATTTATTTACTTCAGAATGATTAAGCGCTGAATGATTCAAATGATGAATGATTCAGAGGCTTTGTATGAATTAGCTCTGAACGTGACATATTGTTTGATAATGACTCTGAATCATTTAGAATGTATTTCTGTATTTAATCATTCAGCACTGTTTTGTTGAATCAGTCAGCATTGAATCATTCAGAGGTGAGAAACAAACTGTCTGAATGCTTAACGGTTCAGCATTCAACGCTGAATAATTCTATTCATAGCCAAACAAACAACCCCTAAGTTAGGACACTTCAAATAGAAGTGATTGGATATTTGAATCGGGCCTATATGACAAAATTGTTTGGTATAAATACTCTTAACACTATACCTTTTATATATACTATACATTACACCATCAGATATCGTATTCATAGAATACGATTCACTTTTAAGATGACGTGAAGTAAAAATATTGAACTTTAATGCTTTATTATCAAATAAACATATTAATTAGATAATGTTGGGGCTATTCATTCATTTTCTGGTATAACAATTTTTATATGATTTATTAATTGATTAATCTAAATCGGATGTTGAAGAGATAAAGATAACACTTTCAATCAAATTTATTTTAATCGTAATTATTAAAATTCAAACTATTAATTTTATTTAAAGAATCAAATATCTCACGTTACTGAAACAACTCATTGTTGGTTAGTGCAGGCACTCATTCGTTCATCTGTGAATACAAAAGGCATAAGAAGATAAAACCGTATTAGACTACACAACAGAGCTTTCGCTGCTTCCGTTCCTTCACTTCTGCTACGCTGACAGACTGTCAGCGTGACGTCAATCATAAAGCAATGGAATGCATAATGATTTTGCTTCATTTCTCTCTCTTAATGGGACCGTGCACACTAGCCGAGTGGACCCAAATTTTCGACACGTGTGAGTAAATAAATACTAAATATTATTTATTATTTAAGATAAAGTACTAAAATGATCAACCGACTATAAAATATTACTTTATTAGTCCCTCAACTATAAAAAAGATATGAAATGATTCTCTAAATATATAATGTTAGTCTTTTAAGTCTTTCGACTATTAAAATTTACAAAATGGTCGTCCGACTATTCATTATGTTTTAAGCCCATCCTTTTACGTTAAAAAACTTGACAGATGTCTAAATTGGACGTTAACATGATAATTTAGATATGATAGTCGCTTGAGATCATGAGATCAGATTTTACCATATCATAGTCAACATGTTAACGTCAAACTCATAATATTATTGATTTTCAACAAAAAAGGATGAGTTCAGAACATAATGAATAGTCGAATGACCATTTTGTAACACAATGATAGCTAGGTGACCATTTTGTAACTTTTAATAGTTGAGAGACTCAATAAAGTTACCGAATAGTCCTTCAACTATAGATTGTTACTTTATTGAATCTCTTAACTATAAAAAGTTACAAAAAATGGTCACCTGACTATTCATTATATTCTAAGCTCGTCATTTTCCGTTAAAAATTTTGATAGTTGTCAAAATTTGACGTTAACATGATGACTGAGATATGATAGTCGCTTGAGATTCTGGAACCATATTTTATCATATCACAGTAAGCATGTTAACAATTTAACGCCCAACTCATAATATTGTCTAATTTTAACGAAATATGATGAGTTCGGAACATAATGAATAGTCGAGTGATCATTTTTTAACATTTAATAGGGACTCAATAACATAACAATCTATAGTCGAAGGACTATTCCATAACTTTTAATAATCGAAAGACTTGATAAAGCAATATCCTATAGTCAATGGATCATTTGTATACTTTACCCTTATTATTATTTT